GACATAACGATATGTCCTGCTTGCAATTGTTCTTCAACGAACTGATGGATAATTTGCAGCCTTTCTTGTTTCAGTGGCCATTGATCTATCCACACAGATATTTCTGTTTTCCATTTAAGTTTGAGCATAGGCTGCTCATCAAGGGCCATCACTGAAAAGGCTGTGTAACCAATGTTGTTCTGACCTGGCTTAGGACATCTCGTCCAAGTAATGTGATAGGAACTTGCATCATGTAAGGTTTTATGGTGACTTGAGCTCCATCAGGAAATGTAATTACAATGGGATTTTTACTAATTCTGGTGGCTTGGGACCCCCCAATGCCAAACACTCCTGTGGCCATCGCAATGGTAGGCCATGAAGCAGGCCATTGTTGGGCTGATACAATTATAATGTCAGCCCCTGTATCTACCAACATTTTCAATTTTTTCCAAGTCCCATCAAGGGATTGGATAACCATTTCACATTCTGGTTTTCCTCGGTTTATATCAAGAGACAGATATACTTGCGGTTGTCCGGTTGATCCAAATCCACCAGTTCGTCGATTACCTTCCCCTATATTTGGAACACAGGCTTTAAGTGGTACAAGCTGGGCAATTCTGCTGCCTTTGGGAATAAGCACAGGTGGGGTTAGGGTTTGAACCATTATTTTTATAACACCAGTATAATCTGTATCAATTACTCCCAATAATACTTGAATGCCTTGGCGAGTTGTTGATGATCTCCCTATTAGGAGAGCACTTAATCCAAGTCCTAATGGTCCTTTCACATTACTATCCACTAAGTGGACCTTCTGATCTTGTATTGTGACGTCTACTGCAGTTTCCATGTCCACTCCGGCACTGCCTGGTGTGGCAGAGGTGAGATTGGACTGGAAACCACCTCCCATCCCTGATTCTGAGCTTGCTCATTATTAGCTAATTTAGCCCATGCACTTTCAAACAACATTTTTTGAGATGGAGTTAATATAACTGCTGCTATTTGATCAATATATTTTGGAATTAACAGTGATGATGAAAAAATATAATTAATAATTTGTTTTGTTAATTGATGATGAAGACCATTTTGCATTACTGAAGCTCTAGCCTTTTCAAGCAATTTCCAGTCTAAAGGATCCCATTCATTAGTACCACTAACACTATTAATAGAAACAGGAAATGCTTGTACGCTTTCAGGAATAAAAGACCCCTCCCCTATAGCATCTCTAATAACCCCTTTCCATTGGCATGTGGCCACAGAGGCACTCTGCACCTGTGAAGAAAAAAGATGTGAAGTTGTAGGGTAAGACGAAGGAAGCGCAGCATCCACCTGCGATGATAACAAGAATGGATTAGAAGCAGGTACTGGAACTGAATACTCAGGTGGCGGATCAGGAGCAGGAGGTTGCGGTTGTGTGCCAGATGAAAAGGTACATGATCTGTGCTCCATCTTCTCCTCCCGTGTTGCAGCCAGTTTTTCAAGCTTGTCTATAAGTTGCAAGAGTGGAGTTCCTTTGTTTGAAATGCCGACTGGTGAGCGGGGGTTTTCTCTCCCCGCGAGGAAGGCGCACGCGGCGGTACGTCGGTTCCACCCACGTTCCCATCTGCGCCCTGCCCCACGCTGGGCTCCGGTGACATCCCCGCTCTCCCCTCACTCTCCTCTCGGCGCGGCGCCAGGCGCACTTCTGGCATTGCCCGCTCCCGCCTGCGCAGCTCCCTGTCCCTGCTGCTCGCCGCGGCCCTGCCAGCGCGACTGATGAAGAAAATGGGTTTTTCGGCTGACATAACGCGATGGGATCTGCCAGCAGTGCAGGCACTGGAGGCAGCATATCAGAGCCAGAAGCCGCTTCTACAGCTGCAAAGGCAGAATTATCAGCCACGTGGTCCCCAGCCACACGGTCCCCAGCCTTGCGGTCCCCAGCCACGCAGTCCCCAGCTGCGTGGTCGTGGCTCAGCTCCTCTGTTGTCTCGCGAATCAGCTTCCAGAGCATGGGGTAGTTGCTCACTTCTTCTGCCAACCTTCCCCCCTCACTGATCGCGTCCCAAAGCTTTTTTCCTATGGATTCCCAGGTAGGTATCTCAAATGTGAGACCTGCACTGGAGATAAGTCCTCTTTCCCAGCTCCATTTCACCAAGCCTTTCAGGGGGGACTTACCGTATTTTATGCCTCTCATGGAGAGGATATCTTTGAGGTCTTTCACCACTGCTTGCTCGTCCCTGCCAAGAACAGACCCCATTCCTCCCCGGCTGCCGCTTCTTTTCGCGGATCTTCAACACAAATTACAGCGTGCTGCTTCTCACCTTCAGACCCCGGGCCAGAGTCTGGATCAGTTTTGACCGGCTTTCCACCCTCAATTGCACCTCTGTCGAGCCCTCAGCGAAGACTTGTGCCAATCTTGAGGGTCCCTGTTCGGGCGCCAGATTGCTCACATGTCCATTATCTCCCAACAGACACCCACCATGCCATAACAAGCACTTGAGCTGAGCTTTGCACAGGTACAGCAGCACCCCACGCTGCTGCCATTACGCTCTAGAAACTATCCACGGTAACACGAGAACATGAAACATTCTGTGATTAAGCAACACCAGTGAAAACTGATTAATGAATGCTCACTGAATTCTCCCCAGACAAGGGGAGGATTCTGTTTCCTGACTTTGTGTCTGAAAGTCCCAACTGTACTGACCAGTCAGGGTCTCGAGTATATTTAACATAAAATTGAAAGATTAATGGGGAAAGCAAACTTTATTTTTGCTTTCCTTGTGAAGATGAAGCCAGTATGAACATTTGATTTCTACATAGTGATTGATGGTACAAATAATAATATTGTAAGACAACATTTCTACTCTGTACTTCCAGTTCAACCTGTGGAGAGTTTCAGGATACTCCATATATTGAAATTAAGAGCTTGCTCATGTTCTGCAATGTGAAGTGAGTTAAACTACTTCCCCAGATTCGTGAACAATTTTCTGTATGTCTGTTTGACAGTGTGTGGCTCCCCCATGGGGCATTTTGCTACTCCAAAGTGCAAAAAGCACAGAATGAAGAAGATATTAAAGTCACTGTAAAGTTCCCAAATCTCAGTGGATTTTGTTGGGTTTTGGGGGGTCTATCTGATGGGATTCAGAACAGTGGGGAACCTGTACTGCTACTGCAGGCCCCATCTTTGAAGTTTTCAGCATTGTCTTTGGCGTATGTGCCCATTCAGCCCCTTGTGTGCTGGGAACAGCCTGAGCTCCCACATCTATTGCAGCTGTGACACTTAAGTCCCTACAGGCATTTTCATGGTAGTACTGAGCATTTCCAGGTACTTCTGGCGGGGCTCCAGCCACCTGGCACCGTCCATGTTTAACACGCTGCCGTGAGCCCTGCCTCAGCCGGCCGCTGGCTGCCCACTGACTGCTATACTGCCCACCCGTCCTCCACCTCTAAACGTTCCCCACAGCCGTGCTCCCCCCGCATGCCAAGGCTGTGGCTCCATGCCCGGGGACGTGAGACAGCCCCTACTGCAGGGGCAGCTGCACTGAGCCTGGACTTCAGCTTCCTGCCCTGCAGCCCGAATGTGTGTTCCTGCACCCTTCCCACAGCCCCGTCCCTGCTGCCAACCTGCGCGGCCATGGCTCTCCTGCCGCTCGCCCTCATACTGGCGGCACTGCCCTGCGCATCATCCTCGCACTGCGGCCCCCAGTGCTTGACTCTACCCCAGCTCCTGGACGGTTCGTCAACCCGACCACCCTGATACCAGCCC